AACTGATGGACTGACGGGCTGATGAACTGATGGGCTGATGAACTGATGGGCTGATGAACTGACGGGCTGATGGACTGATGGGCTGATGAACTGATGGGCTGATGAACTGATGGACTGACGGGCTGATGAACTGATGGACTGATGGACTGACGGGCTGATGGACTGATGGACTGACGGGCTGATGGACTGATGGGCTGATGAACTGATGAACTGATGGACTGACGGGCTGATGAACTGATGGGCTGATAGACTGATGGGCTGATGAACTGATGGACTGACGGGCTGATGAACTGATAGACTGATGGACTGACGGGCTGATGAACTGACGGGCTGACGGACAGATAGACTGACGGGCTGATGAACTGACGGGCTGACAGACTGATAGACTGACGGACTGACAGACTGATGAACTGATGAACTGAAGGACGGGGTGAAGGCGGATGGATGTTTTAGAAACGGGGTTAAGAGAAAACTTCTGGAAATTCAAATATTTTTCATATTTCAGATCTGAAAAATTTTGATTTTAACCTTACAAATCATCCAAACCACTTAGATCACTTTCTGATTAATTAGCATATTGAGCATTTTCATTGATTAAAACAATAAAGAATTTTACTTAAGCATATGTAATAAACTCAACGTGAAGCTGCTGCTTCTTAATGAACAATCATTAAATCCTCTGCAGCTGTAAAGTCTGTGACTGGAGGAAGGAAACAAACGGTAATCAGACACCTTCCTGCTTGCTGACAGTGTAAACACACACTGAGCACAAACATCTTTACATTTTCAGATTTGTAGATAAATATTCATGTGTTTCCACGGCAACAGACTCCGGTTTATTCTGAGTGTTTCCTCTGCTGCTGGAGGCTTTTAGGTTCAGCAGATGAGAGTTTGGTTTGTTCTGCTACCTGATTGGCCTCAGAGTCAACGCTGTGTTTCTTCTTCTGCTGTTCGTTAGCAGACAGGTACGCAGTGAGCTGCTCGCCCCACCTGGTGAGGAGAGAGAGAGAGAGCCGGTGAGTCTGCATCTGATTGGCTGAGAGTGGCGTCCAGTTTCCTGCTGACCCGCTGACAATCTCTCTGCTGTCGCCGCGGATGAAGACTTCCTGCGACGCCGTGGTGATGCACAGCGCGTTCCTCTGGCCGGTCCGGAGCTCGGCGTCCATAACGCCGGTACACAAGTTCATGTTGACGGTTCCCTGTGGCAGAGTGCTGGGCTGAACGAGAGAGAGTAAAAAACACTCGGTTTAATCCCAGGAAGGAACCAGGAATAAAGTTAATAGATTAATGTTTATTAACCAGGAATAAAGTTAATAAACAGGATTAATGTTTATAAACCAGAAACAAAGTTAATAAACAGGATTAATGTTTATAATCAGGATAAATCTCTGTAACACGTCTCAGTTCCGGATCAGAACCGCCTCGGTGTTCCCTACCAGCTCGTCCAGCGCGTACGTCAGACTGCCGTGTTCATACAGGATGAAGAAACGCCGCTGCCATTTCTGGTAACAGAAAACATTCTGTTAGGAGCAGAGAGAGAAACGTTGAAGTCAGAATCAGAATGACGTCCTACCCTGGACCTCTGGGCGGGATTATCAAAGTCCGTTCCCTCAGGAGCCAAACACAACCAGCCGGCGTAGATGGGCTTCGCCTGGAGGGAGAGAGGGCAGGAGGGACCCATCAGGGTCTCCGCTCAGGAGACCAGTAACAGGGCCAATAAGAGGACCAGTTCATTAATGGTACAAATTAGTCCAGTAAACATTGTCAAAGAAATCCTGATGTCATTGATCTCAATTTACTATAGTGTTCATTTTTTTTCCAACTGATACGTAGAAAATTAGCTGAATGTCATCCATGTTATATTTCCATATCTCTTTTTGATGTGATTTATTATCAGCATCTGGTTCACAAACAGAAAACAGAAGCACTTTAGATTCTTTCTTCAGATTACTCCTTAAAAACAAACTATACCGGATTTAAAGACACAAGATTCATAGAGCTGTGCAGCATTTCATAGGAGGCATATCAGGCTGCGTCAGAGCAGCGGCGTGCAGAGCGCCTGCAGGTTGAGCAACGCGCTGAAATTACAGGCTGCACAGAAACCTGGCATGAGGTCAGAGGTGATAACATCCTGGAACAACGCCAGGCGCGCTCCTCTCGCCGACCTGCAGGCACAACGCTGCCTGATGGTGTGAGGATGATTTCATCAAGACGGAAAAACTATTTTTACAAGTCAGACTGATCACTGAAACATCGTAAACAGAACCGGTTTGACAGCAGGAAGCAGGCCACAAGCAGAACAGCAAACAGAAACTGGTCTGAGAAACTCTGGGGAAAATTCAGAGGATGGATGACGGACAATACAGCTGCTGTAAAACTAACCCAGACTAACTTGCTCTAAGTTAAACTAATCCAACAAAAACTAACTCAGGCTAACAAAACAAAGCAAACCTGAACTAATCAAAACTAACTCAGACTAACTCAAGCTAACTTAAACTTATCCAGCATAACCCAAACTAAACTAGATAATCCAGACTAACACAGACTAAACTAAACTGACCCAAAGAAACTCAAACTAACCACAACTAACCTGAACTAACATAAACTAACCAGAACTAACCTAAACTAACTGAACTAACCTAAACTAACCAGAACTAACCAAGCTAACTAAAACTAACCAGAACTAACCTAAACTAACCAAAACTAACCAGAACTAACCTAAACTAACTGAACTAACCTAAACTA